GTGCTGGTGCTTTGTGTCTTCGTCGTCATGCCCAGGATGTTCGGGGGAGGAGGAGGAGGAGGCGGCGGGAGGGCCGGCCGGTCTCCGCGGGGCGGCAAGGCCGGCCCCGGCCATTACGATCCCCGTCAGCACCGCAGAGGTAGGAGCCGTGGCGGTGGCCGAGGCCGAGTTGCGCGTTCCCTGCGGGAGCTGCTGGGAGCCGGCCCCTCTCTCGGGCGGGCTCGAAGGGAGCCTCCCCCCCGGCAACGGAGAGGGCTCTGCCTCGTCCGGCGGGGGGCGCTGGGCGTTGTACGCGGGCTGTGAGGGGGGAAGGCCGTGTCGGACGGCTGCGGGCCGGCGCCTGGGCTCTCAGCGCCTCGCCTTAACCTTCCACACCCCCTTCCCGCCTTCACGTTCTGCTTCTCTAGTTCGTTACTGTGTCGGTTTTTGTCTGCGTTGTCTTAAGAACATCACTGTTAACTGCAGATGACGCCCTGTTACTGGAAGTGTATGTTATCAGGGCAGTTTGACGAGTAGCGCCTGCAGGGACAGGCTTAGTTACTCCAACAGATGAGCAGCTGTGAGGTGTCGGAGGAAAGAATTCACCGCGCGTGTTAGAATTGCAGTAAGGGAGCCAAGTGTTACTGTTAGCAAACGTTAGCACAGAATCCTGTGAGATTTGTCAGGTAGTGTATTGGAAAGAGTCCAAGATGCCTCTTTAGAAAAGATATCACTGAATGGGCTAGGGAGCTTACCCCTTGTGAAAGCTGCAGTGGTATAAATGTATGTTAAGCTGTGTCACTGTACGTCAGCTGAGGATTTAGCTCAAGGTCCAAAGGTCTGCTTCTGTTCTGGAAAATTACAAAAAGCCTGCTTTCTTGAGGTAGCTCTGTGATTCATTGGTGATGCCTTCCAAGGCATTGTAAACCAAAAGGTAGATAGTTGCTGTAATCCTCCAAATTATGTGTCTGTGGTTTTCCCTGGGAGGCAGAAAAAATGAGGCTTGAGCTGCTACCATGTTCTTCCCAGCTGATGTCGAACTTACTGTGCTTCGTAAGCTCTAGTCTGGCCTGTTTTGCTTGATTACTTTTAATTTATATGGTAGCTGTCATTTCCTGTAGATCAAATTCTTTTAAAACCAAACCTTGAAAAAAGCAACATTTCACATGCCTCTGCTTCTACTGATGTATTGGCCCAGCACTGCATAAAATAAATTTCAGGCGGATCTGCTGTTTTCACCTGTCTGGGTTCTTCTTTTCTCCTGTTTGGCCAGTACTCACTCTGCTGTTTCTTCTGTGAGATAAATTTGGTGCAGGACACTGGACTCCATTCGGATTCAATGTCCCTCTTCTGTGCCAGGAAGGTGGTGTTTCCCTTGACCACATTCGTATTCCTATGACCTGTGGAAATTTTTTCATCTGTGATATTAGGTATTTTAGTAAATCTCCTCATTTACATTAAAAACAAATAGAACTGAAAGAAGGAAGACTACATGTAAGATCAAACGTGATTTCCAGATTAGTTAGTTCAGTTTTAGTAAGTCTAAACCTGCTTTTGTTGAAAGGAGAATGTCTGCCTGAACTTGCATTAAATGATTAAGGTAGCTTGAGTTCTGCTTCTGTCAGCCAGGGTGTTTAATTTTTTGTGTAACTGTCCAGTTCTGCTTCGAGTTCCAGTGAGCAAACATACAGATTAAAGGTCTACTCCAAATGGGCATGTTGCAAACTGAGTAATGGGATGTGGAAGAACTTGCAGTGATGCCTGGCACGACTTGACTGCCGAGCTGATAGTAAATGTCGCTACAGTCAGGGTCATTCCTGGAAGTCTGAAAAACTTTTCTGGCTAACTCATTTTAGACAATTCTAAACCACTGTTCAAGATCTCTTATCACAAAGTACAAGCTTAGTTTAGCAGAATTAGATTCCTTTTTCTCTTGTATTTGGAAGAAGCTGTAGCCAAACAGTTGTTTCACTGGGAGTTGTAACTTATGTTAATTTTTTTCTCTACCTGATTGTGGCTCTCTTGCACACTTGAGTTATGTTACTGTAAATTCTTGAAATGCCACTGTTTCAGTATTAATTGACAAGGAGTGATTTGCATAATGGTCTTCCATTTGGGAGTTTTTATATAACGTGAACCTTGTTTTACCCATACCCAGTTCAGGGATATTAAATTATGAGGAACTAAATGTTCAAGGGGATTTTGAGGTATAAGTCTAAGCAGTCAGTTGAGACATCAGTGTTAAACTTAACAGCTCCTCAATCACCTGCTGTCTGTCTCTGCAAGCATCTGCATTCTTTAGCTAATAGCACTGTTTCTCATGTGCGTGTCCCATGACCCCAGGTTTAACTACCAAATAACCTAATTCGTAAGTCAAGCAATGACACTGGCTGTTTTATCTGCTGCCTGTTTTGGCAGGCAAATTACACGGAAAAATACTTCAGACTTCCGAGGTTGCATCTCTTTGCTATTGTGCAATCTTTTCCTGCTAAATATTTGATTTGGAGAGGTACAGCACTTCTAAGCCTGTGGGAATATCCATGTAACACTGAATTTACTGCCAAAATAATGAAAGCAGCAACACAGCATGTGTATTTCAACAAAACATTTTTTTTTCTGGGACTAGACAATTCAGTTTGTACTTAACTCCTTTCTTTGTTACAGAGGAAAAATATTGATTTGTAACATTGTTCTCAGCATTATTAATAGTTTCTCTGAATATGCTTTAATTTCAAGATGTAAGTTGTTTCTTGTTTCGTCTACCTTTCTGTGGTTTGCTGTGGGTTTGCCAATGTTGTTGTAAAGGAAGAAACTTAAAACTTGCATCTTAAAGATAGAAACTTAGTTTGAGGGTCTTTGCTACATGGATTTAACTTTGCATTCTATTCATGAAACAGTGATTTTTAATTTTTTTTTGGTAACTTTATTTGGATGCAGGACTGACCACACCATCTTAGAAGAGTGATAAACAAAGATGATCACACAAGAAGGAAACAATTTAATTCCAGTTGTGAAACTAATTGGACTCTTAATTTCCTTTCTAACTTTGTCTTCTTTCTCTCAATTTAATTTTTTAAGGTAGTCCTCAGACAGTTCACCTGAATCCAGGAAATTCTGACAGTAATACTTATCAGAGTATTCAGCAGATGAGAAATGCAATGGAAAAAGAGATAAAGAGTGAGAGAACAAGAGGAAATGGTAGAGAATTAGCATTCACCCTCATGCCGTTGTATGCTCTTGGAGTGGGAGTGTTTGCAGCATACAAATTTCTTAAGGTAAGCCATAAGAAAAGCATTAAATTATTGAAATTAGAAGGAAATGTAACTGGTCTGGGTGTGTGTTGTCGTCCTGCCCCCCCCCCCCCCCCCCTTTCTGTCCCTTTTTGTGGTTTTTTCACAGCACTTGATTTTGGTCG